CTGCTCCTTTGCGTTGCCCTGCAGGCCTGTTTTTTTTCAAAATCAGTGCCACGGCAGTGCCGCTGCAGAGCACGTCTGGCCGGCCCACTCGACGGCCCGGAGACGCGCTCATTATCAACTCTAATTAATCTATTTTATCCTTATGATATCAAATTATCAATCTATATTAACTTATCTATCAACACCCTCTAGGACTTACGCCCCTGTCTTCGCATAGTTCTCCTGCCGACTTTTTGACAGATTAATTACCGCCTTACGACGGTTACAAAGCTCGAATAAATATAAAAGCAGTTGTGGTTCTTTCAACCCCCGCCTCTTGGAACACCACGCCGCGCATCTCTCTCTCTCTCGTCTCTCCGCATACCTCGCGCGCGCTCTCTCTCTCTTCCTCTCCGTCTCTCCTCTCTCTCCTCTCTCTCTCTTCTCTTCTCTCGCTCTCTCTCCTCTCCTCTCTCTCTCCTCTCTCTCTCTCTTCTCCTCTCTCTCTCTAAAATCTCCTCCTCTTCTCTCTCTCTCTCTCTCTCCTCTCTCCGTCCTCTCTCTCTCTCCTCTTCTCTCGCTCTCCTCGTCTCTTCTCTCTCTCTCTCTCTCTCTCTGGCTCCTCTCTCTCTCTCTCCCCTCTCTCTCTCTCTCTCTCTCCGTCCTCTCTCTCGTCTCTCTCTCCTCTCTCCTCTCCTCTCTCTCTCCATCTCTCTCCTCTCTCTCTTCTCTCCTCTCGCTCTCCCTCTCTCCTCTTCTCTCCCTCTCTCTCTCCCTCCCGTACATCTCGCTCTCTCTCTCTCTCTCGTCTCTCTCTCTCTCTCTCTCTCTCTCTCCTCTCTCTCTCTCTCTTCTCTCTCTCTCTCTCATCTCTCTCTCTCTCTCTTCTCGTCTCTCTCTCTCTCTCTCTCTCTCCTCTCTCGCTCTCTTTCTCTCTACTCCTCTCTCCTCTCTCCTCTCTCTCCTCTACCTCTCTCTCTCTCTCCAACAGGGAGAAGAGAGGGCGCCCGGCGACAGGGGAAAGCAGAATCAGTATAAAGGAATCAGCAGCTGCCCGCGTAAGGAAGAGAGGGAGGATGAAGAGAGAGAGAGCCCAGACGCAGACCGGACGGACAGGACGATCGCGACGCTGAGCACGAGAGAGGAAAGACGAGAGCGGAGCAGAGAGTAGGGGGCGACTAGCGCAGGCAGGCGAGAGGGACGAGGGGCGAGAGGAAAAGGGCAGCAAGGAGAGGACGAGGCGGGAGCGAGAGCAGAGAGGCACGAGAGACGAGAGAAGAGGAGAGAGACGAGATGAGACGAGAGAGAGAGAGAGAGAGAGAGCGAGATAAAGATAGATGGAGAGAGAGATGAATGTACATTATGAAGAAAATTTAGTTAGTTGATGTATGTTTGTCTACGAATTAACCACAGTGTAGTTGTAATCCTTACAATATTATTGTTTAGTATTGGGTAAACACGCATGCATGCATATATATATATACAAAATTTCAATCGTTTTTTCAATGTGTTGAAATGCACATGCATTTTATTAAATATTTTTTATTTCAACCACAAATTAGTTTTAATTTTAGCTAGTAATTAACAAACTTTAATAGTGTTATACAATTATCTATCACTATATTCACAGATTTGGTGCATATAACAATTGTTTTCATACTAGCGGGCCTACTATATATGAACGTGTATTGTAAATGCTACTTGACATTTTATAAAGAATGTTTTACAAATGTCTAAATTTACAAATTAACATTACAAATTATATCATTACAGGAAAGCAATCAATCAGATATCTGTTATAACTGTTATATCTGTTAAGAAAGCAAACTTCACAGTCCAGTAATGTACTCATGCAGATACAGTATATCGTTCTGCATAATTAATTAATTATATAACAAAACATGTAAATCCTGGTGAAAAACTGGCACAAAAGACATGACGAATTGACACAATGTTCTTGAAAGATCAACATAATGAAAAAATGTAATCTCTATGTTTAATGGAGATTTTGAATGTGTTCGCTATATACACATGAACTGACAGTTTGCTATACAGTTTTTATACTATTAATAATAACACACCGTTTTTGATTTTAGTACATTGAGCAGTCAACTGTGGAATATATAACGCGCAATTATAACATGTAGGCAAGATAGTGAAACTAAAAATAAAAAATTTCTACCTCACCAGGCACTTTGTCTCGTTACAGTAACTCTGAGCACGGCAAAGAGACTCAAAGTTTTCAAGTATTTACTAAGAAAAAGGTTGTAGAGCATTATCTGTTAAATATCTGTGTAGCGCAGCCAGCAGACATGCACTCGGAAGACTAAACATCTACATTATCATATAACCAAAAGCTAATAATACCAAGGTATTATTAGCTCTTGATATAACATATAGACAGTCTTTTGATAAACGACCGTTTCTTGGGACTGACAAAAGTGATATTTACATTTCACGAAAACTGTTTTATAACGTTCCCAACGATTGCACAAGTTGGAAACGTAGTTGCGACAACACCTTATCGGTGTTTATTACTTATTAGATTATCTCATTTTGGATATGGTCAGTGTCACCTACGTGTCTACCTAGTGTAATTTATCTTATATTGCAAAAGTTATCTGCACACTCCCTACACTGATTCGTCAGTAACGTACCATCCTGTACCATTCAGTACCGGATTCTGTACACAAGCCCACTATAATCACTAAGCTGACATTTCTCTTAGAGATGTGCTTCGCGCTTCTATACAATTGGAATCACATGAGGTGCGTAGAGTTAGACTCGTGGCGGTTTTTAGTGTGTCCCCACACCTATACGAGAAATCACATGTGAGAGAGACATATAGTCTGAATCACTGCAGTGTTTTAGCGTGTCCCTTACGCTCCTATGAGGGATCACATGAGAGGCATGAAGTTAGACTCAGGGTGGTCCTTAGTGCGCCCCGCTCGATGCCACACAAACACACGACCATCCGTGTTGCTTGCATACAGAGTATGGGAGTCCTTGGAGAATATCAAGCTGCAATGAGAGAGCGAGACATGGAGTCGCAAAACATTTAGTACCAGTACGCTGTAACCCATCATTTCTCTCGTATACGCTGTATATATCGCGGTGGTGTGAAGGAATACTTGATTCTAGGTTCTAGGATTATTTTCAGTTGATTTAGGTTAAAATTACGTTACATTAAAAATTTCATGGTTCAATCACCATTAGAAAATATTTTTTTAATGTTTTAAAACTAACGACTACAGTTTGATTATAACGACGGTGGCGCCACTCAAAGCGCACTATCTGAAAAGTTGCACAAAAGGACTTTCCAGCCAAGGGTTTCAAGCAGACCGAGGGTGTTTCTTATTTATTAATTTAAAAGCAGAAGGATTGCAATATCTTATAAACGACATCTAGTTTCAGTTATAATATGGATAAATTTGTCCTAAAATAAATATCGTTCGATTAAATAGCATTTAGGTATAAATATAATTGCACTTTTGTGATTAGTCCTCGGTCTGTAACGTGCAAAATAAATTGTCAAATGCGCAACTTTTTCAGGGTGGCAGCACGGTCGCGGCCGGGTGTCAGCGCCCAAAAATAAAGATTTCGAAATTCAATGTTATTTTATGACAAACGTGAATGCGTAATTATAGATATTTATAGGTATGTGCTATTATTTATAAATCTACTATCATAATATACTCTCAAATTATAGAGTGAAGTATTCCTTTAATTTTCGAGAATTTCGCGAATGTGTCCGCGACCGCGAAAATAACAACACACCGTTCTTCACTGATTCGGAAATTCACCGACCGCGAAATTCACCACTCGCGAAATTGTCCGTCAGGTCTGAATTCGCGAAAATATCTGTACGCGAAAAATATGGCGTATACAGAATATATCTCTCACGTCACACAAAATGATTGTGAGACCACAGGAGCACTAAATTTTATTCTGTAGGACTACTTGTTTCTGTTTTATTTTATGCATGAACTTGAGCATGTGTCCTTTGTTGCTTGAATTTGTACTTGGAATTAATTAATTATTACTATTGTTATTATTGTTATTGTTATTTTATCATGATTATTATTATTATTATTATTATACACACGCACACACTCAGTTGCACAATGCAGTCATGCACACGTATGTGTAGAATGCTACACAAATATATTGTTGTTAATCTTTAGGCATGATAAAAGCTAATACGCCTGATTTACTCACCTTATTAATGGTAGGCTGCTTGCAGGCGACGATATTGCTCTGACTAGCTGCAAGTCCCACGTGTTCCACATCCTGCGATAGACAATACTACTCAGAACCGCATTGTTACGTGCCTTACAACATCTATCAATTACAGGCAATCTGTATAAAAACTTATTTTAGTTAGTTAGTCAAGTCAAGTCAAGTCAAGTCTTATATTAGTTAGTCAATTTTGGTCAATAGATGGCGCCTGCAGCTTAGTTGTATATTAACCGCGTAGCTTTCTTCTATAATACAGCGCGCAGCTGCTGGAACGTGACTCCAGCACAGTGGTGTTGATCACTCTATTTTTAATGGTACGTGCGCGTTTACATGAGGCAGATAATGAATACATGGTTGATTGCTACTCCAAAGAAAGGTCGTGGCTAAACTGACCGAAACACTTCATTGTATTCATCGCACATTCAGAAATAGTGTTTGTACATCAGCTAGCAACCCGATCGGTATCTGAAACTAGTTGTTTACAGAGGCTGTTCGGCATGTCATCTTTATCCTGGTTACCTTATAGAGCCATCTTCAATACCAGCTGCGATGATGTTGATCGCAGTGCCCTCTGGTGACGTCGAGAAGCAAATACAGTTGATTGCAAGTTCCGTGTCAATGGAGCCAACGTGTTTACTATTGATGTTGTGTACAGCTAGGTGGCTCAACAATCCTGCAAGATGAACACGAACATGTTATTACTGTCTAATTAGAGTTCTTAGCTCGTTCTGTCTCGCATATGCATGCGGAAACTGATTAATGAACCACACAAAGATGGAAGAAGTCTTGTATACTCTCAAAGTTATAAAGCTGTTACATGAGAGACGCCTTTTTAGTTAATCGGTGTGGCTGACATGACGTATCCAGCATCAGAGATCCACCTGGAAGACTTAACGTTTATTCTTTACTACTGTAATTAACGAGTTTGATTTGTTAACCCGTGTCATTCCAGGTGTTCAGTACACTCCTTTATTTCATCTACCTATAATAAGCGTAGACAGTCATGCATAGAGAAGGTCGCATGAGCGATATATATAACAATCTCACCGGTGTGGCTGACGCTGGCGATGTATCCCAGGGTGCTGCTCACCGATACCGCTCTCACGACGCCGTGGTGCGCTCTGTAGCTGTGTGCGTAGCTGAGTCTGTGAACAAAGAGAATCATCACCACATCAGGTTAAGCTGGGTTTACACTACCGACTTTGTGTTGGCGAATTGGACCAACTTCTTAATTATAGAATCGACAATCGTCAGTGTAAACGCAAAAGTTGCGCGACCAACTGATCAATAGCAACTAGTTGGGAGGTTAAGACCATGTTCTATTTTCGCCAACTCGCAGTTGCCGAATTGCGAAATTGGTCCAACTCGCCAATTCGCCAACTTAAAGTTGGTAGTGTAACCCTAGCTTTACAGAGATGGCATGGTGCCAAGATAGGGTGGTACCATGGTTACATGGCAGTTACGTGGTCAGACATCGTGATGATATGTTAGAATCACCACGTCAGGTTACATAGATGGCACGGTGCCAAGATACCGCGGCAGGTACATTGTCAAATAACACGAGTCTGATCAGATGTCATGATATCAATAGAAATGAGTACAGAATGAAAAAGGATCTCAACATAAATAATTAACCTGAGCGTAATGACGTACATATGATACAAGAATAAATTTAATTCGGAATCTAGAATAGGTACCTGTTGGTGTCCCACACGATACAGACGCCGGAAGAATCTGCCGTCACGACAACACTGAACTGTTCACAGGCATACACGGCTGTGATCCTGCTGTCATGGCCGTATAATCTCACAGGCTGCCCACACACCGCTACCTCCCCCTGCTGTTGAAACAATCACGTTTGTTACCCAATGCTAGAGTGAGTGAATGGCAGCTAATATGGTATATACAATCGTACGCACGCACGCACACACACACACACTGGTGTGAATTAAGAAACATACATAGAGAGAGATATGTTACACTATGTATCGAATTTGCATAACTAACATGTTATAAGTAAAGATTTCATCTACATATTTATATTTGACTATTTAGTATATCGAGAAGTCGCTGTGTCACGACCGTGTGCAATTATTATGTTTGGCTTGGGAATGTTTTTTTATGTGAGGTGTAATGACCTTTGTTTGGCTGTAGCTGAGTCTGTAGACAGTGATCACTCCTGTCTGACCACCCAGTATGAGCTGCTTGTAACCACCCACAGTGCAGCCACACACCATCTGTAAAATTCAAACATGACGCTCAAACATTACAGATTTGCCTTCAACCAACACTCCTAGTTGTTTACTAAGAAACAAACCAGAGAGAGCGAGAGAAACTCAGATGATAGCCAACTATAACTTGATGGCAACGTACAATAACTTTGTAGAATCTACATGTCGTAATGCAGTGCATATCGTCCCGTAGACAAGGCCCAATACCCCATCATCACAAACAAAATTATACTTTAACATTAGTCCTAACACTGAACCTTTTCTCGTAGACTGCTGACATGGTAAAGTTACGAGTACCTCAGTGTATAGCGGTCCATTCTATGAGAAACGGATAATCTGAAGATATATGTTACAAATAATTTTGTTTCTGACAACAGGCCGCTGATCTCAATTACGCTAGGTGTAAAAGAGAGAAACCAAGGTTACCCGTTGGCCACAGAATTCTACATGAACTATTGAAACCTTGAAACCTATAGCGTACCATAGTGTAACCTATAGTATAAACATATAGGTCCTATAGTGTAACGCTGCGTCGGCACAATCAGCGGAGAATTTGCTGGTCAGGGGAGAGTTTTCTGCTCACGACATCCACATACGCTACGATAATCCCGATGACCCATACCTTGTCATGCCAGTCATGCTGCAGGAGATTGGAAGTAGATTGCTCTCGCAGCTGCTTGACTCTAATGATGTTGTCCGGGTACATCCAACTAACCTTGGCCAGGTTGAATATCATTGTCACCCCTGTGTTAGAGTGAGTAATCGTAGCGTCAAGCTAATGCTTCGATTTAATTAGGTACAGTGGAACACTGATTTTACGCGCCCCGATTTAACTCGAATTCAGATATAACGCGATGAGTCACTGGACTCCCTATTTTTGCTCTTATATAGCCACGTATATATAACCACGCTATAGTGCGACACCGCTTTTTTCGCAATGACATTTTATGGACCCCAACCATCGCGTTATAATGGGGCTACACTGTATTCTTAACAATGTTGTTGTTGCAATTGTTGTTGTTGTTATTGTTGTTGTTGCTGGTGGCTGCTGTGATTGTTGTTGTTGTTGTTATTGTTGTTGTTGTTGTTGGCGTCATCATCGTCGTCGTCGTCGATTTGTTGTCATATGTGGAGAAATGAATGCAGAAAATACCAGATCTCCCACTAGTTCTCTCATAATTGCATCCTTCTAAACTATCTGCTAATCGTTACCATGGTTACCAGAACTGTTCTTCTCCTGTCTGTAGATGACAGTCTCCATGGGACCTACTCCGCAGACGACACCAGAGGGCAGGCTGATAAGTGACGCGGCGGCCGATTGGTATTTATGGTGGGATATGAGCAGAGGATCTGCGAGTCGGGGGGAGCCTACGTAGGTGCCCCACTTAAGTCCATGTACACGAGGAGGGGACCCTACAAATTAAAAAAATTCCCACTGTAAATAACTGTGCGAATATTCTAATATAATACTAATAATAATAATAAATTATAAAAATAATATATATAATAATAATAGTAATATATAATAATGATTTTTCTAATTTAAGCAGTGTTAACTGAGAATGCTCGAGTCAAATGATTAACGATTGGTTGGCAGGATCCCCCATTCCTAACACATCTTTGTTTTACAACGTTTGGCCCATGGATGAATATTAAGCGTGCGGCATCGCCGCCACGCCATGTAAAGGAAGGCAACATGGCGGTTCAGGAAGAATGATTTCGTGGCGAATTTATGTTCCTATGGATTTCGACTTTAAGAAAAAGGGAAAGCCATACGTCCACGTAACATTTCCCCAATGTGAGGAGTCAAAGCTACAACCTGACTAGACACATTGGCAGAAGTGCAGTGCTGCCACCTACCAGCATCTGTGTTCTCGGTGGCGGTGCTGGTAATAGAGGGCGCCTGCGGGCGGGTGTTCGTTCTTGGAAGAAGTTGTCGCGGCGTACTGTCCGTACGTACTTGAATGCATCAGTTTCTGTTGCTATTCTTTCCGTCAAATCCGCGATGGCATCGACTTTCAGGCTCCAAAGTACGTCTGCAAGTATATAGCCACGATCACTGAGTGAACGTAACTAAGCTTTATTAAAATTTTTCTGAATTTTTCACTGAAATTTTACGACACCAGTATTTATTTTATCCGTTTAATAGAGAAGAATATGAGCAAGAGAACGCCAACATAAAAATATTTAAAACAACTAAAATAAAAGCTGTTAGAGTGAGTTTAGCCATAGAGCGCACGTGTGCGCACACACCACATAGCACACCGGACGCAACCAACACACCACACACACGACACACACACAGACATGCACACATCCACACACACACACCAACCCGCGCGCACCCACGCACACGCACACGCAGCCGCACACGCACACGCACACGCACAGCCGCACACGTGACACGAACCACACGCACACGCATACACTGCAGCATCGACACACTAAAACGTACCTTACAGCAGGGATGGAACACATTAGAGCCTGCACGGCCAGCGTTGCAGTCTGCTTCGAGCCGAACACAGGTCGATCAGTGATCAGATATGCGCCGACACGTGATTCCGACTCGAGCGCCTGCGGTGGACATGAGGATGAGATGCGCGGGTCCGCCGTTGGCACCAAGGGAGGCAGCTGAACGCTGGTGCACGCGCTCACCGTTCCTGCCGCCACTCCCAAGTCAGACCTGCAAGAACAATGGTGGCACGCTCGCGTGTGTGATATCTCGAGAGCAGCGCGGGGGCGCCACTTATCGAGAGGGCAGCGCGGCGGGGGCAGCACTTATCGAGGATGGGCTGCGGGGGCAGCACGATTATCGAGAGGGGAGGCAGCGCGGGGGCAGCACTTATCGAGAGAGAGCAAACATCTTGGCTTAGCAGATCGCTAACATTTAGTTAGCTTACACACATTGTGAGCATTAGGCCAGACTCGTAACATTAGTTAGTTACACACAATCTTGGCTTAAGCAGATCTCCTAACCTTTGAGCTTAGTCCCACAAATCTTGGCTGAGGCCAGACTCTAACCTTTGGTTAGTCACACACCTCTTGGCTTAGGCCAGACTTAACCTTTGGTTAGTCCCCACACATCTTTGGCTTAGCCAGACCTACCTTTTAGTCAGTCAAAGCACATCTTGGCTTAGCCAGAACTCTAACCTTTGGTCAGTCACACACATCTTGGCTTACGCCAGACTCTACCTTTGGTTAGCCACACACAGAACACTCAGGTTCAATTGACACGCACCTTGGTCATTGGTGAGCAATGTCGGGTGAGAAAGCAAGAACTCGGGAAGGACGTTCGCTGAATGTCCGTCAGTGAGATGGTGTGAGCTGAGATAACTCCCAGGTGTCTGCAGACTGTGGGAATGTACGATCCGGCATGTCAAAGTTCTTATCTGGAAATTAAAAAAAACCGATGCGAATACAAAAGTAAGTCGAACGGTAGTATGTATCTAGGTGAGCGAGGGATAGAAGAGAGAAAGCGAGCAACTGAAGCAACTTAAGAGAGGGAGCGAGAGGGAGAGAGAGGGAGAGAGAGATAGAGAGAGGGTGGAGGGAGAAAAAGAGATAGAGAGATAGGAGGAGAGAGAGAGAGAGAGAAGAAGGACAGCAGCGTGAGCGGACATCGAAAAGGGAAATAAAGTAGCAGGAAACGATTACACAGAAAATGATTTAAGAGTCCTTCTTGATTTCATTATGGTTTAACAGAACGATTCAACAGATCGCATAAGAGCATCACAAGATCGAGAAGAGATTGGAGAGAGAAGAAAGGAGAGTGGAGAGAGAGCATTAGAGAAAAATAGAGAGGCAAAAGAGAGAAGAGCAGGCAGAGGATAGAAAGAAAAAGACAGAGAATAACGATAGATGAACAGAGAGTAGAGCAAGGAGACAGAGAGAGGGGATCTGACCTTGCACACAAATTTAGTAGAACTTCATAGAATTCTCGTAAGTACAGATTAACCCACGATACTTTAGCTCCCTCGAATTTCTATAACAACAAAACACAACATCATTAAGTTAATCAATTAATGTCATCACTCTAATGAATAACTACTAATTAATCAGTACGTTCGGTACCTGTAATGTGCATCAGTGTGAAAGATGGGGAACACTCTGACGGAGGAAATGTAGAGCGGTGCGCTCACGTGTTGGAGATAGTGAGAGCTCGTAGTGGTAGGCGTTCACGGTACCATCGGCTCCGGGTGTCCCGAAATTTGTTCGGGTTCTCAACTCTCCTCCCACAAATACTAAAATTACAGCCGAAAAGCCAATGAACCATTGAATATGACCAAGAATACCAGTATATGAAAATGATAACATAACATGGAAAAGTAATAAAATATGTGTAAGTCATAAGAAATATACCGCAAGTAAGGCGATTCTATGCACAATGAATGGGGCGGGACTATGTTACATGTAATAATTATATTAAATTGAGTTAATTATGAGTGCATTATAGTGTGTGTTTGGTTCCATTATTTCTCACTCACTAGTGTTATGTAGTCGTGTACTGATCACTATCGTTCGACCTTGTATCGCGTGACACGAGAGGTGGTGCCTTACTGCGGATTACTGCACAGTGCTATAAGTCTCTCATGAATCTCTGCAACGATCAAAATGCAAAACCTCGTTTAGTGGAGCCACTAAGGTGGTTTGTAAATCGTCGATAAGGATACGATATATTTATAATATATATATAAAACCTATTTACTGTTCGCTTCGCTTGTGTGTCTCCCCCCTATGTCTTGGTGGGATTCCGGAACGTAAGCCACAAGAGAACAGTTATTCTACGTATTTTTGAGGGCATTTACTACATTCAAAACTAGTATAAAGAAATTTTATTGTTCACACGACTGGTTCTTTTGAAATCAGCATCACTAACTAATGGTTCCCTGGAAGAAATTCCATTTCTTGTAGCAGTATCATGTAAGAATAAATTGTAATACAAACAAGACTCTATGTGTTGTAGGTATCTTTGGGTTTGCCATGTCTGTGTGTGTGTTACCTACGATAATTAGATTACATTAGCAATTAATAAGGCACAGCCATGCAAAACAACAGACTGCCTGGATTTTGCTTTGTCTGTCATGTCTGTACACATTATCCATTAGATTTAAATCACAATCGTAGTTAGGCACAGAACGCACCTTCCCACAGTAATAAAAATAACAACAGCACGCAATAATAATACTGAATATCTTTCTATCACATAATCTTTCTGCCTAAACTGTCTCTTCATCGTACCTGAAGTGTGCAGGGTCTTCCAGATCCAGGTATTCCCAATTGTACTGTGCCAGTATGAAGGGGAACACCGGATACTGCATTAGGTCATTGAACGACCTTCCCGCCATCTTGTTGAGCTGAGTGAGATACTCGAAGTTTGTGATCGCACCGTCCATCCACTGCTGCTGGACGCTGGACAGTCGGTCGGTGTCGGCGAGGTTGGGGAGATGTCTGCCTAGCAACTCCTGGTAGACTTTATCCCTGTCCTACAGAAAACGCAAAGAAACGTTAGCTCACAAGTCTGCTTCATCTACCTGAATCTGCGACATTAAATTATGTAATTTATTAAATTTAATAATGCTAACTTTACTACGTCACTCATAAGAGATGTTCTACATCTTTACCATTTTTACATAAAAGTTACTTTATAAGTAATGAATACTTTCAAGTTATTTTAAACTTTTATTAGTTATATTATTTTCGTGATAAAGGCTTATAAGTAGATTTACTCATTTTATTCCAACGCACGATTAATGGATTGTCACGCGCGCATTGTCGACACGCACTGTACCAATGTACCCTGCAGCGTGACCTCTCACCTTGGTGCTTTCGAACGCCAGGAGGAAGGTGTTGCCGTTGCAGAGGAACAGTTCGAGGGCGTTGTCCTTGAGTTGGTAGCGACGTTTGTGAACTTCCATCAAGTCCTCAAACTGTGAGGAGATGTGAGGCATGCCCAGCATAGGCATGTAGTCCTGCAAAACGAGTACATGACCGCATTACATTGGGTCATTTCTACAAGTGTTCTATAGTTATGTTCATATTTTACTTTTCTCACTAAACGTGTTGCAATATGGTGACTTGTTTTATCAACCACTACTCAACATGACACCAATATTCAATAGCAATACATATTCCATGTATATTTCATTAAATTAATTTTGTACCAATTTTCCAGGCAATATTTGGAGTGCGACTTATACATGAGTAAATACGATATATATAACTATGTTTATGCTGTACCTGTATATATAAATATATATATTGTAGCTGTATATATCACTATGTATATGTTGTGGCTGTATATATAACTATGTATATATTGTAGCTGTATATATAACTATGTATATGTTGTGGCTGTATATATAACTATGTATATATTGTAGCTGTATATATAACTATGTAATAATAATTGTAGTATGATATAACTGATGTATATTTTTGTGGTGTATATATAACTATGTATATATTGTAGCTGTATATAATAACGATGTTCATATATTGTATCTGTATATATAACTACTGTATAGTATTGTAGCTGTATATATAAACTATGTATATATTGTAGCCTGTATATATAACTATGTATATGTTGTAAGCTGGTATATGTAAGCTTATGTATAGTTTTGTGCTGTTAATATGTAAGCTATGTATATGTTGTGCTGTATATATACTATGTATGTGTTTGTGGCTGTATATATAACTATGTATATATTGTAGCCTGTATATGTAACTATGTATATATTGTAGGCTGTATGATATAACTATGTATATATTGTAGCTTGTCATATGTAACTATGGTATATTATTGTAGCTGGTATATGTAACTATGTATATGTTGTATCTGTATCAGGAGTTAATAAAGACAAAGTCTTTATTAACTCCTGATCTGTATATATAACTATGTATATATTGTAGCTGTATATACAGCTATGCGCATGTTGTACCTGTACGAGGGTTGCTGATTCAGGTCGGATCTCATCAATGACAAAATGCAGATGTAGTTCTCCTACCAGCAACTCACCCGCTGTCTCAGCAAATGGTGAGACGCTGTAGCACTTACAGTGAAAGCTGTAAGTAGAAGGTCAGTGACAACACGCTGTAGACTTTACAGTGAAAGCTGTAAGGTAGAAACATGAAAGCACACTGTAGCAGCTTACAGTGAAAGGCTGTAAGTAATAAGCATGACATCCACACTGTAGCACTTACAGTGATAAGCTGTTCAGTAAAAACATGGTGACACACTGTAGCACTTACAGTGAAAGCTGTAAGTAGAAACAATGAGCAACACACTGTAAGGCAGCTAACAGTGAAAGCCTGTAAGTAGAAACATGACAACACACTGTAGACTTACAGTGAAAGCTGTAAGTAGAACATGACAAGCACACTGTAGGACCTTACAGTGAAAGCTGTAATTAGAAACATGAGCCACACACTGTATGCACTTACAGTGAAGCCCTCGTAGTAGACATGAAACACCTTGTAGACACTTACAGTGAAAGCTGTAAAGTAGAAACCATGATGAAATCACTGTAGCAGCTACAGTGAAAGACTGTAAGTCGAAACAGTGACCACACTACTGTAGCAGCTTACACTGAAAGCTGTAAGTAAAAAACATGAGTGAGCACACTGTAGCACTACAGTGAAAGCTGTAAGTAGAAAACTATGAAACACCAACTGTAGGGCACTTACAGTGAAAGCTGTAAGTAGAAGCATGACAGACACAACTGTACGCACTTTACAGTGAAAGCTTGTAAAGTAGAAGCATGACGACATGTAGGAATTACAGTGAAAGCTGTAAGTATAAGGAAACCATGGTGAGACGCTCGTAGCACTTAGCAGTGAAAGCTGTAAGTAGAAGCATGACGACATAAAACTGTAGGCACTTAAACAGTGATAAGCTGTAAGTTAGAGCATACGACAACACACTGTAGCCTTACAGTGCAAGCTGTAAGTAGAAGGCATGACAACACATCTGTAGGCACTTACAGTGGAAAGGCTGTAGTAGAAGCATTGACAACTAACTGTAGCACTTCGAGTGAACGCTGTAAGTATAAAAACATGGTGACACACTGTAAGGGCCTTATCAGTGAAACAAGCTGTAAGTATGAAGCATGAAACGAGCACACTGTAATGCACTTACAGTGAAGGTCTTAAGTAGAAACATGACAACAGCGCTTGTATAGCCCTTTACAGTTGGAACGCTGTAAGTAGAAACATGACAAGCACGCTTAGAGCAGCTTTACGTGAAAGCATGTTAAGTAGAAACATGTACAAAGCACGCTGTAGCAGCTTACAGTGAAAGCTGTTTGTAAAGTAGAAGGCATGACAAACTGCTGTTATGCAACTTACAGCGTGAAAGGCTTGTAAGTTAGAAGGCATGACAAACACGCCTGTACAACTTACAGTGACAGCTTGTAAGTAGAAGCATGCACGACACACTGTACACTTACAGTAAAAGCTGTAAGTAGAAGCAGGGGGGGGGGGAAACAACAGCACTGTAGCACTTACACCTGAAAGCTGTCAAGCTTAAAAAGCATGGGAGCACAGCTGTAGCACTTACAGTTGGAAGAGCCTTGTAAGTAGAAGACATAACAACACACTGTAGCACTTACAGTGAAACGCTGGGTATAAGAAAACAGGGTGAGACGCTCTGTAGCACTTACAGTGAAGCTGTAAGTAGAAGCATGACAACACCGCTGTAGCACTTTACAGTGAAAGCTGTAAGTAAGAAACATGACAACAACTGAGCACTTTACAGTGAAAAGCTGTAAGTGTAGAAACATGGTGAGATTGCTGTAGCACTTCACAGTGAAGAGCTGTAGATATAGAAACGATTGTGGACAACTGTATCACTTACAGTAAAAGCTGTACAGTAGAAGCATGGACAAAAAACCACAACTTGTAGCACTTACAGTGAAAGCTGTAAGTATAGAAACATGGTGAGATGCTGTACAACTCTACAGTGAAAGCTTGTAAGTACAGACCACATGTGACACACTGTATCACTTACACTTGAAAGCTGTAAAGTAGAAACATAACAAACACACTGTAGCACTTACAGTGAAGCTGTAAGTATAGAAAACATGGTGAGATCTGCCTGGTATCACTTACAGTGAACAGCTGTAATGGTATGATAAACATGGATGACACACTGTAGCACTTACAGTGAAAGCTGTAAGTAGAAGCATGACAAGCACACTGTAGCACTTAGCGTGGAAGCTGTAATAGAGCATGACAACACACTGTAAGCACTTACGTGAAAGCACTAGTATAGTGATAACGATGACCAAGCACACTGTAGGGCATTTTACCAGTGAAAGCTGTAAGTAGAAACATGACAACACACTGTAGCACTTACAGTGAAAGCTGTAAGTATAGAAACATGGTGACACACTGTATCACTTACAGTGAAAGCTGTAAGCTGAAACAAAGTCAGCACTGTTGACAACAACATGCCATTCCATCCATCAGATATGACAGCTGGTGCTAATGTCTACACAGCCTCACACTGCAAAGTTGAGCAGTGCAATAATAAACATGATTTTCTCTCCGTACCTGATTTTCTCGTTCGTGTGCAGTGTGTGCAGTATGGCTTTGGAATGATGCAACGTGGTCCTGGAGTCTGTGAGGTAGCCCAGAGGTGGACCGTGGTGCTCTGCATCTAACACATACAAGTTACGTCATGTGTGAGACATGCAATGACTCAGAGAACCGTGATCGATTTCCAATCCGTCCAATCTCAAATATCTGATGACAAATCTGCGTGACTGGATTAATGGTATAATTTTGATGAGGCTGTGACGTATAGAATATATTCTAAAATAACTCTGGAATAATTTCCTTTATATAAAAATTCCTAATAAGGCTTTCTCATGACCCTGAGAATACCCTCTAAATTGATGAAGTAACATTCACTATTTCACGTAAACTATAATATCAGGATTAAATATTTAAAGGTGTTTTTATTCACTCCTGGTGATATGTATACTAAGCACAACACTCACCAAGTCTGTGCTTGTATTGGTCCATGAAGTACTTGCTAGCAATGCCAACATATGCATACTGAGTGCGTATACGCTCCCTGCAGGCGCCCTCTGACGGATCAAGCTTCCAACACTTGGGATAACACTTTTCATCAAACCAGACTGCCCTGAATTTACGGAAAAATCATCATTTAATTTTAATTAATGTTAATCGTGTAATGGTGTCTTAGATAGAGGTATGTACCTCTCGTGGGAGAGTTAAGCTGTCAGCTGTTACGCACATACCTCTCATGTACTCTAACCTTTGGTTAGCCACACACAGACACCTCAGGTTATTGACACGCACCTTGGTCATTGGTGAGCATGTCGGGGAGAAAGAAGAACTCGGGAAGGAGTTCCTTGAAGTCCGTCGTAGATTGTGAGCTGGATAACTCCCAGGTTGTCTGCAGACTGTGGAATGTACGATCCGGCATGTCAAAGTTCTTATCTGGAAATTAAAAAAACGATGGGAATACAAAAGATAACGTCTATCGGTAGATTATGTAGGTGAGAGGGATAGAAGAGAGAAAACGAGCAACCGAGCAAGAGAGGGAGAGAGAGGGAGAGAGAGGGAGAGAGAGGGAGAAAGAAAGAAAGGGGGAGGGAGAAAGAAAGAAAAATAGAGAGAGAGTGACTCTGAGAGAGAGAGAGAGATGTAATGTCCAACTATTTTGTTTACGTTTTGTATCGGAACTAAATGTATCGGTGCTAACTCTACTTGTGCAATGTCACGCATGCGTGAGCGGACATTCGGAAAAGGAAAATAAAAGTAGCGGGAACGATTACACAGAAATGATGCTTAAGAGTCTTCTGATTTCAATTATGGTTTAACAGCAACGATCAACAATCATAAGAACATCACAAGAGAGAGAGATGGAGAGAGAAAGAAAGAGAGGTAGAGAGAGAGAAATAGAGAGCAAGAGAGAGAAAGAGCAAGAAGATAGACAGAAAAATACAGAAGAGTACGAGATGACAGGAGTGGAGCAAGGGACAAGAGGAGGGGGATCTGACCTTGCACACAATTTAGTAGAACTGCATAGAATTCTCGTAAGGTACAATTAACCACGATACTTTACTCCCTCGAATTTCTAAACAACAAAACACAACATCATTAATTAATCAATTAAGTTATCACTTAATGAATAACTAACTAATTAATCAGTACCTTGGTACTGTAGGTGCATCAGTGTGAAAGGGGGAACTCTGACGAGGAAATGTAGAGCGGTGCCACTGTTGGAATAGTGAGAGCCGTAGTGGTAGGGTTCAGGTACCATCGGCTCGGGGTGTCCCGAAATTTTGTTCTTCTCACTCTCCTCCCACAAATACTAAAAATTACACCAGAAAAGCCAATGAACCATTGATATACCAAGAAATACCATATATGAAAAATATAAATAACATGGAAAAGTTATAAATATTGTAAGTCATAAAAAAATATAAAAAATATACGCAAGTATACGATGTATGACAATGAATGGGCGGGTCTATCACATGTAAAATTATATTAATTATGTTAATTATGAGTGCATTATATGTGGTTTGGTTCCATTTTTCTCATCACTCAGTGTTATGTGTACTGTACTATCACTATCGTTCACCTTGTATCGAGCCACATAGAGGTGTTCCTTACTGCGATCTTGCACAGCTATAGGTCTCTCCAGATCTCTGCAACGATAAAATGCAAAACCTGTTTAGCTGCAGCACTAGTGGTTTGTAAATCGTCGATAAGGATACGATATATTTATAATATATATATAAT